ACTTTAAAATATAATTTATTCCTGTAAAGCAAAACTGAATTTCCAGCATCATTACTCCAGTCTTCAGTGTCACATGATCCTTTAGAAATCATTCTAATATGCTGATTTATTATCAATGCTGGAAACAGTTGTGCTGCTTCATATATATTTTTTGGAACCTGTGATACTTTTTTCGGGATTGTTTTATTAATAAAAAGTTAAAGTCACACTCCAGGCTGTTACAAGTCTGAAGCCGGGGCCTTACGTTCCCCCTCTCACGAGGAAGGATCAGGTGAGTGTTACACTTCACACCCAGACCCCGCCCTCTACTGTCACAGGCGTGGCTGTCATAGGCCCTGGGCCAGGTCCCTGTGTTCCACCGCGCTGCCGCTCTGCGGGATTGTCAGTGGCTCTGTTGGTTCCACTGGCACGGTCTCTCGGAGCCTGGTTAGCACTCCCCAGTTCGTCTCGGTGGTTCCTGCAGACCATCAGACTCGGCTACGTGATTCAATTCACCCGGCGTCCCCCCAAGTCTAGGGGCATCCTGTCTTGCGTGCAGAAATCGCAGTCCTGCTGACGAAGGACGCAATAGAACCAGTACCTCCAGCCGATATGAGGACGGGGATTTACAGCCCTTACTTCATTGTGCCTAAGAAGAGCGGTGGGTTACGACCAATCTTGGACCTGCGAGTTTTGAATCGCGTGCTTCACAAGCTGCCGTTCAAGATGTTGACACATTTTCAAGTTCATCCGTCCCCAAGACTGGGTTGTAGCGATCGACCTGAAGGATGCGTACTTTCATGTCTCGGTCCTCCCACGACACAGGCCATTCCTGCGTTTCACCCTCGAATGTTGGGCATATCAGTACAAGGTCCTGCCCTCCGGGCTGTCCCTGTCACCCCATGTCTTCACCAAAGTCACAGAGGTGGCCCTTGTTCCCTTGAGAGAACAAGTGTTTGTATCCTCAACTATTTGACGACTGGCTTATACTCGCACAGTCTCGAGATCAGTTGTGCGCACACAGGGACGTGGTGCTCAGACACCTCAGCCAGTAGGGTCTTCGTGTCAACTGGAAAAAGAGCAAACTCGTGCCAATGCAGAGGATCTCTTTTCTTGGAATGGAGCTGGATTCGGTAAACCAGACAGTATGCCTTACCCAGGAACGTGCTCAGTCGGTGCTGAACTGCATCAAGACTTTATCAGGCAGGACAGTGGTCCCACTGAAATTGTTTCAGAGGCTCCTGGGGCATATGGCTGCAGCTGCTGCAGTAGTTCCGCTCGGTCTGCTCCATATATGACCATTTTAGCACTGGCTTCATGGCCGAGTTCCAAGGTGGGCGTGGCTATGCGGCACTCACCGGGTTCAGATTACACCGGCCTGTCGCAGAACCTTCAGCCGTGGTCGGATCCTTCGTTCCTTCGGGCAGGAGTGCCCCTGGAACAGGTATCCAGTCATGCAGTGGTTTTCACAGATGCCTCGGCCACCGGCCGGGGAGCCACGTACAATGGGCAAGCAATTTCAGGGGTGTGGATGGGTCCCCAACTGTGTTGGCATATAAATTGCCTCGAGTTGCTGGCAGTGCGCCTTGCCCTGAGCTGCCTCAGAGGGTGCCTTCGGGGCAGGGACGTACTGGTCCGCACGGACAATACTACGACCGTTGTGTATATCAACCGGCAAGGCAGTTTACGCACCCGTTGCATGTCTCAACTCGCTCGCCACCTCCTTCTCTGGAGTCAGAAGCATCTGAGGTCCCTTCGTGCCATCCACATCTCAGGAGTGTTCAATCGGGCAGCCGACGAGCTGTCTCGAGCGGCACTTCCAGGGGAGTGGAGACTCCACTCCCAGGCGGTTCAGCTGATGTGGAGACGGTTCGGAGTTGCTCAGGTAGACCTGTTTGCATCTCCAGAAACCAGCCACTGCCAGTGGTTCTATTCCTTAACCGAGGCAACACTCTGCACGGATGCACTGGCACACAGCTGGCCCTGGGGCCTGCGCAAATATGCGTTCCCCCCAGAGAGCCTACTCGCACAGACGCTGTGCAAGATCAGGGAGGATGAGGAGCAGGTCTTGTTAGTGGCTCCATATTGGCCCAACAGGACCTGGTTCCCAGAACTCATGCTCCCCCTGGTGATGGGGAGCATGAGTTACAGCCTATTCTATAGCTTACGTGTCGAACCGGTTTCCTCCTGTGTTCTCACCTCAAACAGGTAGTGGCACTAAGAGGCCCGGGTCAGAGATGGATTGCGGCGCCATAACACCTAGTTCTCCAGAGAGTTCCCTAACCAGGCAAACTCTGTCGAGTCCTCCAGCACTCTGGCGGCCGGATGTGGCGGAGCGTCCAGCGCCAGGCCTTTCATCCAATGAATTCTTGAAATCTGGTGTGAGGCTAGTGTCCATATGAGCGACCCTGTTGGGATCCCATATGTGTATTTCCATGGAACAGTTACGAGGGCCGTGTTTCCCCTGGCAGGCTACGATCTGCCGTCTCTAGATGATGCAGCCTGAGCCATCTCAGAGACTTCCATGTGCAATAGGACTCTTTTGGGTTACTCCACATGAGTAAATGTCACTCAACCCCCAATGGGAGGTGACACCGCAGCGTGCCTTTTCCAAGTCCTACTGTTTGGGTTGCTCGTGGAACAGCAGTAGTCAACCTTCTTTGTGTAGAGCCCGGTCCTATCATCTGCCTTATAGGACATTTCAGGAGGCCTACACAGGGCAGTGGAGGGGGCAGCACCTGTGGTGTTTTGGTAGGGATTTCCAATTCGTCTGTCACTGACGTGACGTTAAGAGTGACCGACTGAAGGGGAACATCTCGGTTACATGTGCAACCTTCGTTCCCTGAAGGATGGAATGGAGGCGTTACGTCACGTCGCCACAGTTGCTGTACCACTGCTGAGCTGCCGGGTCACCGGCTCGGGTCCTCAGCGAAAACATGAATTAATGCGGTGCACCTGCTGCCTCTTATACCCGCGCTGCGGGGTGTGGCAGCCAGATGCGAATTCCGCATGCCAATGTCCATTGGCTTGTTTAGTTACACTCGAAGTGGATTGGTCTCTCTGGCGAGATTCATAATTCGTCGGTCACCGACGTGACGTCTCCGTTCCCTCCTTCAGGGAACAAGGGTTACACATGTAACCGAGATGTTTCTGTCCTTTTGTGTGACGTAATGTCCCATGCTGTGACACAGATTTGTTTTTATCTCAAAATATCTTAAAACAGTTGAGTATTGCAGCAGGGGATATATAAATATCACTCATCTTAAAATGGTAGAATTTTCTGCAGTTTTGAATAGATTACAGCAAAGTTTGTCTTGTTGTAAAAGTTTGTCTTGAAATTGTCCAACAAGTCAAGGGGGGAAATGTTCATTATAATTTCATATTAAATAAATAACACAATATGAAAATAAGTGTCTAACAATGAAGATAAATCTCTCTCATGCTATTTAAATATTATTATATATTATATATTTTTTCTAAACTTTTGCAATGTCACACTATTGTACAACTTTATGGTACAGTTCAGTAAAAATTTTTTTTTAAAAATCAATGAAAGAATTGACAAAGTTAGTGACACTTTATATTTTCTCAAAGATCAGACTTCTTCAAAAATTTTATTTTACAAAATAAGCATTTTTTTACTGCCTATTTGTCAACTATTCATGTACTGAGTATTTATGCATTTTAACACAAAACACATCAGCATCCATCTGTGAAGGATGTAGGCTGTCAAAAAAACACAACTGTTAGCCAATCATAGCAGTGGGCATTTACTTCCGAGTTTACAATCCTCCATGCCTATTCAAACAGAGCATTCTGATGAGGGGTGTCAAAACAGGACAGAAAATAACCTATTAATTCTAAACAGTTTTTTGATGTAAAAGTCTTGATAACATTATAAGTGGACCTCAGAGAACAGTACAAAATAATAAAAAAGGCAGTTGACCCCTTTAACTACTGAATAAAATAATAATATTACTATTGATGTATGTGATTATGATTTTTATGTATGTGATTAGGATTTTGTTGTGTTTAATATAGGTATAGTGTATTTTTTACATGCATAACCTAATATTCAGAGAACGTTGTGTCTGTGTAAGTTTGTGTGTATGTTATCTAAAGGCAACATGGGGGTATTCCAAAAAGCAGGTTATGTGACATACCCGGGTATGTTTGAGGATAAGTGAGTGGGAGCAGGTTATGTTCCAGGGTTAGTTCACTTCAGCACTATCAGCGCACTACTGACGAGCCTTCAGATAGGATAGCGCACAACATTATATAATATTCTATATATATAGTATGTAATATAGCCGAGTCCGACTCTCTAACCATTAGGCCACGACTTATTGGCATATATAACCGTAATCTGTATAAATAATAAAACACTATGACAAGGTAATGTTTAATTTATTATATTATATTTTATATTATCATCTCACACATGGATCCAGCATTTTCTATGTCTAAATTTGAAATCAAAATACATATCAGCTATGACTTCATATATAATTAGCATCAAACAAACAATATAATTCATATTCTCAAGGATTAAAGATTAAACGGGAAAAAAAAAAAGATTGCACAACCATCAATTATGGTGATATGCACTAAGCATGTAAACAACCATTGAACAAAAGAAGAAGAAAGAAACAGCATGGGCGCTTTTTCTTAGCCTCCGTTTCCATAGCGAATCGTCGATTCATCACTGTTGAGAATGTCTTGAGTCTTAACCAGGAACATACTCTGAGTTGAATGAACTTACTCCCGGACGCGTTTTTGGAACCACATACCTCGAGTAAGCAAGGTTTGGGGTTAATCAATCGAAAGTTCAGGGTTTAGCTGACGGTAAGTTAACCGTGCTTTCTGGAATACACCCCATGACTGATTAATTAATAGCATTTAGTTGTTTTTGTCTCCTCTTGCTATCGATTCATCTAGGTGCTCCACACTCCATCCCAGCAGGTGGCAAAATCACGTTTCAGTTGGTTTTCCACAAGCATTAAATGACAGAAGAAGTAGAAGTGGTTAAGTTAAGTAGGCTAAGTTATGTCCTAAATAGTGGCCCTTTTTCACATATTATATAAGATGTCAGTTGTATCTTCCTTTGCGAACAATCAACCAGTGAAGTGAGTATTCTCATTTTCTTCTTTCATTAATCTGTGCACCTGTTTGATCTTGTTAGTAAAAATTATGTTTCTATAGATATTTTCAGTAAGGATATCAATTTGTATCATCCATGGGTTTTCTTGGGAATTATCACATGTATTTTTTAGAAATGGTGTTTTAAATATGGTACAAGTGTTTGTGGTTAATATGGATATATTATACTTTTTTACTTTACTTTTGGTTCTATGTTGTAATTTACACAGGCCTATACCTCAAGCATGAATTTTGTACCTGCATCATTTGTATACTACACACGATATGTATATGTATTTACTTATATTAATATGCATGATCAAAGAATGCCTGTGCTCATAACTACAACAGGATGTCAAATGGATAATTCAGTCTCATATTTAGACTCAACTTGTTTTCCACAATTTTAATGCATTCCTACCTCTAGAGATCCATGTTCCTGTCCATAATTGCGACACTTGTGTATACTTCTGATTTTTATATGCACCTTGGATGTGGCCTTTTGACAAGCCTGCAATAATTTGGATTTTATTCAGATTCTCTGACAGTGGGCAGTCTATGCGACATTACAGCACCAATATGGGGACACAAAGGAGGACCACTGGACTTAGGGAGGCATTTGGGACAGAGCCCAAATTTGCATTGGCCAGACATTACATCATAACGACTGGTACGTTCCCATTGGCCCCCACGGCCTTAAAGTAAGCGATTTACTTCTCCCACCCCTGCCTCTGACAATTACAGTGTCTTATACTATAGTGATCCTTTTCTTCCAGGTTTAGCTTCTGCCTCTCACCTCCTTCCTTGCTTTTCTACAGGGATGTAAAATCAGCATTTAATGTGCTCCATTAACAGTGAGGAAAATTACAGCCTTAGCCTGAGTAACTTTCTCTGTCTTTCTGCCTCTCTCTCACTCACTTGGCTCATATAGTGTCTGTTTACAATAGCCCTCACAGTTTTTTTTTTAATCTGCAAAAATATATTTAGTTAAGTTAAGTGCATTTTGCTTTCAAATCAAAGCGTATTGATCACTTAGAAATGTTGACTAAACGGTTGCTCCATGTTTTGTTCGCCGCACTGAAGCATTAAAAACTTGAGTCTCCATTTTGTTCCACAGTCCATTTTAACAATATTATCTGTGCTGTTTTTGGCGTATTTGCATTATTGTTCCTATTGAACTGCATGCTAGAACAATGCAGACCGTGTGTGCAAATAAGCATTGCTAGCAGTAGGCATGACTGATTCTAATTGAATCCACCCTGAATACACTGACAGTGTCATTGCCTTTTGAAGATCCAAAATGACCACAATGAAAACAAGTACTGCTTCAAAAGAGAGAGAAATAATCTGTTTAATGTAGGGCTGAAATGAACAGAGGGAAGGACAAATAAGAGATCTTTGAAATTTTGCAGGATTAGTTTCCATGTTGTCATCAAAACTCAAAGCATTTAGAGTGAATTGACAAGTGACTGGCTTAGAAATTTGCAGATGGTTTCTAACAAGACAGTGATTGAAGCTTACTGTTCAAAAGTTTGGGGTCAGTACGTTTTTTTTAGCAGCAAATCAGTGAAAACTGGAGTAATAATGCTGACAATTCTGCTTTGCCATATCAGGAATATAAAATACAAACCCGATTCCAAAAAAGTTGGGACACTGTACAAATTGTGAATAAAAACAGAATGCAGTGATGTGGAAGTTTCAAATTTAATTCAGAATATAACATAGATGACATATCAAATGTTTAAACTGAGAAAATGTATCATTTTAAGGGAAAAATAAGTTGATTTTAAATTTCATGGCATCAACACATCTCAAAAAAGTTGGGACAAGGCCATGTTTACCACTGTGTGGCATCCCCTCTTCTTTTTATAACAGTCTGCAAACGTCTGGGGACTGAGGAGACAAGTTGCTCAAGTTTAGGAATAGGAATGTTGTCCCATTCTTGTCTAATACAGGCTTCTAGTTGCTCAACTGTCTTAGGTCTTCTTTGTCGCATCTTCCTCTTTATGATGCGCCAAATGTTTTCTATGGGTGAAAGATCTGGACTGCAGGCTGGCCATTTCAGTACCCGGATCCTTCTACGCAGCCATGATGTTGTAATTGATGCAGTATGTGGTCTGGCATTGTCATGTTGGAAAATGCAAGGTCTTCCCTGAAAGAGACGACATCTGGATGGGAGCATATGTTGTTCTAGAACTTGGATATACCTTTCAGCATTGATGGTGCCTTTCCAGATGTGTAAGCTGCCCATGCCACACGCACTCATTTCTCTGAGAAACTCCTTTCTGATATTGCTCCACTATTTTTCGCCGCAGCATTGGGGGAATTGGTGATCCTCTGCCCATCTTGACTTCTGAGAGACACTGCCACTCTGAGAGGCTCTTTTTATACCCAATAATGTTGCCAATTGAATCAGAATCAGAATCAGAATGAGCTTTATTGCCAGGTATGTTTACACATACGAGGAATTTGTTTTCGTGACAGAAGCTTCCACAGTGCAACAGAATGACAGTGACAGAACAAACAACACAGATAATAAAAATAGAACAAGTAAATAAGAAATAAAAATATCTAAATTGGGGTGCAATGTCATCTGCTGGTGTTGGTCCATTGTGTTTTTTGAAAACCAACGTCACTGCACCTGTTTACCAAGAAATTTTGGAGCACTTCATGCTTCCTTCTGCTTACCAGCTTTTCGAAGATGATGATTTCAGCAGGATTTGGCACCTGCCCACACTGCCAAAAGCCCCAAAAGTTGGTTAAATGACCATGGTGTTGGTGTGCTTGACTGGCCAGCAAATTCACCAGACCTGAACCCATAGAGAATTCATGGGGTATTGTCAAGAGGAAAATGAGAAACAAGAGACAAAAAAAATGCAGATGAGCTGAAGGCCACTGTCAAAGAAACCTGGGCTTCCATACCACCTCAGCAGTGCCATAAACTGATCACCTCCATGCCACGCCGAATTGAGGCAGTAATTAAAGCAAAAGGAGCCCCTACCAAGTATTGAGTACATGTACAGTAAATGAACATACTTTCAAGAAGGCCAACAATTCCCTAAAAATGTTTTTTTTATTGGAAAAAAATACTTATGAAGTATTCTAATTTGTTGAGAATTGGTGGGTTTTTGTTAAATGTGAGCCAAAATCATCACAATTATTAAAATAACCAAAGACTTAAAACTACTTCAGTTTGTGTGCATTTTCCACGACATTCTAATTTATTGAGATGCACCTGTACTTATGCACTATGTACCCAACAATGTAGTGTATAGATTTTGTAAGGTTATTTTGTCATTAATAATTGGAGTCTGATAGCCCCTTTGCGACGTAATTAAAGCTGCGAGAGTTGAGTGCATGAAGTGTTCAACATTCCACACTTAATTTTTTTTCCCCGGTTATTTATAAGGTTAGTTCACCCAAAAATGAAAATTAGTCCAGAAATTACTCACCCTCAAGTCATCCTAGGTGTGTATGACTTTCTTCTTTCAGACAAATCCAGTCGGTGTTATATTAAAAATGTTTTTTGATCTTTCAAGCTGTTTAATGCCACTCAGCGGGTGTTGCATACATCCGTCCAAAAGCAGTTAAATAAAATGCGCCCATCCATAAAAAAAAGTGTCTCACACGGCTCCGGGGGGTGAACAAAGGCCTTCTCTTCCGAATCGATGCATTTTTGTAAGAAAAATATCCATATTCAAAACTTAATAATCACTTTAATGTAGTTTGCGCTCACTGTTGTACACTGGAAGCAGTTCCGGGGGAATAACATATAAGGTCAGCTTTGCACATCCTTGAACTTTGTACGCATAATATATGCTTGTGTGCGTCTGTCAGTGAAGACAGTATGTGTTGAATGTTTACACTTGTGCATTTTCCACAAGAATGACTCTTAACATTTCCCACACGCACAAATCTTCACATATGTTCATTACTGAATGTCACTGAAATATAGCCATAGATGATTGACAAATTGCGTTCACCTCGCCCATCATTGATGGATGAAATTAAGTAATTACATACATCTTAAATGGAGCTGAGCCTCTTGGGATATTTGCAGGGAGGAGGAGAAGAGAGAACTATTCCCGAGCTTTTTTCTTTTTTTTAATCCATTACAAATCCATTGCACTGTCAACTTGATTTATGTGGCGCCAGGCCTGTGTCTCTTTCAATGTCACGCACATAAAAAATAAAGAAGACGTCCTTATCATATATGATGATATCTGCTCTCCCATTCAGCCTCCTTAAAGTTTGAACAAGGAAGAAAAACTTACCTTTAGTCCCAGCACCGGAGGCAATGAGTACACTCATGCATGGGGTAGTTTGGGTGACTGCTTATTGTAATAAAAACTTCAAAACTTTTATGGTCACAGGGTTTAAAAATAACACTTGCAAAGAGCCAGCTGCAGGTAAAAATTGGTTTTGGTGAGTAAATAAAACTGTTAGTGACCACTTGACCGGAGTTACAGCATAATTCAGAGTCTAAATCAAAGAGGTTTTTAATACCTGGAGAAATCGAAATGTTAGCATTCTCATTCATCTCAATGGCAGTCGTTTGGCTGACATTCATAATATTTTTAATGATGTGTGGTTTTAGATGCTAGTTGCAAAATACTTTTGAATGGCTATCAATGGAGACAAAAGACTTTTTGATCTAAAAGCTGCAATTGGCTAACAAGGCCATTACTTCTAAATAATATTACTATATTATAAAGGGGTCATACGATGTTGCTAAAAAGAACATTATTTTGTGTATTTGGTGTAATGAAATGTGTTTATGCAGTTTAAGGTTCAAAAAACACATTATTTTCCACACACTGTACATTATTGTTTCTCCTCTATGCCCCGCCTTTATGAAACGCGTCGATTTTTACAAAGCTCATCGGTCTGAAAAGCGAGGTGTGCTCTGATTTGCAAGCTATCCAGAGTGTTGTTATTGGCTGAATACCTCAAGTGCATGACGGAAATGTTACGCCCCTTACCATACAGTCAGGCCGTGTCCCGGAGCGACGATTCAAAAACATTAAAACGCAATATAAACGAGGCATTTGTTGCATTCAGTGGGGACATAATTACGGATTAGAGTGAGTGAGAACGGCGCGGCCAGCAGATTCGACGAAGGAGCGGCCAAGCGGGCTTGCGGCAACCACATGTGACGACCCCAGGCTGGACTCCGCTTCGTCTACAGTGAAAGCCGATCCGGCGATCCACAGTGCGAAGTTGATGTATTTCCTCAGCAACCAGCACGGATCAGCTCTAGGCATGACGAAGCGGTAATTGTCCTCTTTTGGAAGGCCAAACAAAGTAGTTTTGCTTTCACAACGAAACACACAGCGTCTGCACGACATGGCGGCGGCGGCAACAACAATACTACAGTGAGAATAAAAGTTAAGCCTTCTTTCTTTGCGTGAACATTTGGGCGGTGTTATGCAAATCTTCCCACATCGTGACGTAGACATGTAGGGGCATGTTTGAACGAGCAGTTTTAGGTAGGCGTGGTTGACTCTTAACTTTTATAAAGAATATCTCTTTGGATTTGAGACTTTAGTCTTTGTAACTTTACAGATCTTCTTTATGCACCAAGAGCTTGTAACAGTCCAAAGAGAAAGGAAAAATTTAAATTGCATCATATGACCCCTTTAACGTTTATAGTTATTCCCCCTTCAATCAAGACCACGTGTAAACACACCAGCCCAGGACCTCCACATCCAGCATCTTCACCTCCAAGATCGTCTGAGACCAGCCACCCGGACAGCTGCTGCAACAATCGGTTTGCATAACCAAAGAATTTCTGCACAAACTGTCAGAAACCGTCTCAGGGAAGCTCGTCGTACTCATTGGGGTCTCGACCTGATTGCAGTTCGTCGCCTGGGCTGG